ACTTGAGAGGATTCTTTTGAAGCTCAAATACCATGATTTATGAGAAGCCCTTTGCTCAGTGCCCAGCAAGCGTCAGTATCCATTAGTTCATGGTCGTAGTGACGTGTGTGAGGTCACGTTGCTGGCAAGGAGCAGAGGAGACGTGGAACCCAGGTCTGTCTGACCACAGAGCCCCGTTTCTAGCTCTGATGTTCATTGGCCAACCCGGAGCACCCCAGCCTCGAGCAGCAAGGGAAACACCCCACAGACACCTTGTGTCTTTAGCAGAAGCTCCTACTCTCCATCCCAGCCCTGGTGGAAGCGGTGGAAGGCAAGGCAGCGAGCCCCCTCCATCCATCGCTGCCGAAATCCGGAGAAGAATATGGAATCCTTCAGTTGCTTGGCCGCTCAGGCAGGACCCCGTCGAGCAAATTCTAGGATGTTACCAGCACCTCGTTAGGCTCCAGCACTAGTTATTTATTTCCCCCAAAGAGAAGGAAGCCAGCACAGGGCTCAGGATTCAGTCCCTGGATCGGCTGGTTCCTTTCCTTGTGACCTCAGGCAAGTTATTTCATCTCCACTCTACGTGCGCCTCCCAAAAGCTCCCCAAGATGGGGTGCAGCCATCACTCCCGCCCTCCTCTCCCCCGGAGCCTTCAGAAACACCAGCCTTTCTAACTGCTGGGCAAGGGCTGGTGTTTCAGAGGAACATGCCAGTGATGGCTTCCCTTGTAAAGTATGCTTTCTTTCCCCTGTAAATTATGATTAACTTGATCACGGCAGTTTATATTAACACAGTTTACATTGTTCTGTAGACAATTCCTATGCAAACTTGGGTTGAACAAAAAAATGTATCTTTGTATTGAGGCTGGAGGGTTACTGAAAAATATGTTCTGAGCTTTTTTGTGAATCAGACTGTTGTAATCGGTGGATAATAACTTAGAAATAAGTATGTCAAATTAGATTATTGAACGTGAGGCTGGTTCTAGTGACAGCTATCCCCAGTGCTATGCCGTCTGCTAATGAGAACATTCAACAGAATTTATTTTGAATAGTATTATAAAAAATATAGGATTTAATATATTGACTATATTTCTACAAACCTCTAGAAGTAAATTCTCTCCTCCTCTCTCTCTCTCTCTTTGTCTCTCTCCTCCCTCCCTCTCTTTCTCTCTGTCTCTCTCTCTCACACTCACACACACACACACACACACACACACATTCATGAATGAATGAAATAGATTTGCAATAAAACTGAATTATTATCAGATGAGTTGCATTCAGCTCCCTAGCTTTCAGGTGCATTTAAGAAGGTAGAGGATCTGGATTTAGCCTTGCATTTCCCTTCATCTCTGTCTAAACAAAATTGGAATTCCCAGCCTCAGTTGACAAGCCAAGTTATCACATCAGTCCCACCCTCCAGGGCTCTCCCACTGTCATTGGTGGTCATTTTTCAACCAAACTATATTGCAACTGGGTGTTGCTGGGCTGGGCTGCAGCACATCTCCGTGTCCCATCTCGGGAATGCTGACCAGGCTCTGTGCTCTGCCCTTCACAGAAAGCCAGGGGTGTTGTGTGTGGGCCTCGTCTACATGCCCGGGTACGTGTAATTGCCCAACTGTGTGTGTTGTTTCGCCGGCAATAAAAATCCGGCAGGGAAGTGAATGCTAAAGTTAGCTTGTCCTTTGACAAGATCTCCCCAGTTGAAAATTTTTTGTTTATCTATATGCTTGAAAGGATTTTACTGACATCAAATTAACTGCCTTGCTTAATGGTGCAAGATTGTGTTTTGAAGAGCTTCCACTGAATTGTCCTTGAAAGGACATTTGCTCTAGCAAGTCTAGCCTCTGGCAAAGTTACTGCATCTGGGTGTAGGTGGTTTTCTCTGCATGTGCGAGTTGTAGGATGTGTGCATGTAGCCCACCGCTGGACCACGAGTCACTACCTCTGTTGGATGGGTGGGTGGAAGGATGGACAGACAGGTGGACAGACTGACAGGTCATTTACTTTGCCTTGCCATGTGTCTTAGATATCAAGTTTGCTGACATTTAAGAAGGAAAACCTGGTGTCCTTCCAACAAGTTCTTGCTAAACCCCACCCAATGACTATGTTTTGGGGCTTCACTCATTCAACAAAAACAGTATTTAATAGGCACTGAGGATGTGCTAGGCACATGGGATACAGAGTTGAACAAAATAAGAATAGTCCCTGACTTCAAGGAAGTTACTATCTTGTATGGGAGAGGCAAGCATTAAAAAGTAATTACACAAAGAATTAGTTAACTCTAGCTGTCATCACTTTTTTAAAATTAACATATAATTTTATACTATAAAATTCACCATTTAAAGTACAAAATTAAGTGGTATTTGTTTATTTAGGCTTAAACAACAAACATTTATTTCAGACACTATTGGCATCTGGGAAGTTTAAAAATCAAGGTGTCTGAAGATTCGATTCATGGTGAGGGCGCCCTCCTGGCTTGCAGACAGCCATCTTTTTGCTATTTCCTCGGGAGAGAGGGAGAGAGAGATAGAAGGAGAGAGGGGGGAGAGAGAGAGAAACATCGATGTGAGAGAGAAAAGTTGATCAGTTGCCTTCCTTACACACCCGACCAGGGACCAAACCCACAACCCAGGTATGTGCCCTGACTGGGAAGTGAACCGGTGACCATTTGGTGCACAGGATGATGCTCAACCAACTGAGCCATCCAGCTGGGCTCTTATGGCATTTTTAAGAGTGGAAAAACTTTCCTAGAAGCCTCCAGCAGACATGACTTCACTAGCCAAATTTATATCATACAACCCATTTCTAAACTAGTCAGTGGCTAGGCGTATAGAAGGCCTATGATTGGCTTAGACTAGTCAAGATTCATGGCCCTCTCACCCTCCCTGAGAAGAACAAAATTAGGAGGAGAGTGGACTGGGAGGGCAGTTTTGGTGGTTTTTAGTCTATTCACAGAGTGCTGTTTGTCGTTAATATGGAACAGTTGAATGAAAAGCTCAGTCTGTCCTGTTGTGTGGTTGGCACAACCACAAACGATTGGTTTGACTGACTCCTACAGTTTCCATTACGTTGGCGTTGCATTGTCTGTGGTCTTTAATGTCATAACTGGGGGCAAGGGGAGACATCGGAGTTCAATTCAGGCAGGGTGTTGTGGAAGCTGCGCTACGGGAAGTTCTCTGTCCCGTCCTGGGAGTTCCTTCTCGCCCCAGATGGCTCCCTTGAGCACTCTCTTCTCTGCCCCTAACTTGAACTTCCTGGTTCTGGGCAACCCCTGTAGCACCTTATAATTCCGTTTTCTAAGAATATGTCACAAGAACTTCCCAAACACAAATTGAAAACCGTTAGGATCTAACCCAGGGGTGGGCAAACTTTTTGACTCGAGGGCCACAATGGGTTCTTAAACTGGACCGAGGGCCGGAACAAAAGCATGGATGGAGTGTTTGTGTGAACTAATATAAATTCAAAGTAAACATCATTACATAAAAGGGTACGGTCTTTTTTTTTCTTAGTTTTATTCATTTCAAACGGGCCGGATCCGGCCCGCGGGCTGTAGTTTGCCCACGGCTGATCTAACCTGTATATTCTAAAGCTAAAATATTAGATGTTGTGGCCCTAACCCAGGGGTGGGCAAACTTTTTGACTCGAGGGCCACAATGGGTTCTTAAACTGGACCGGAGGGCCGGAACAAAAGCATGGATGGAGTGTTTGTGTGAACTAATATAAATTCAAAGTAAACATCATTACATAAAAGGGTACGGTCTTTTTTTCAATAGTTTTATTCATTTCAAACGGGCCGGATCCGGCCTGCGGGCCGTAGTTTGCCCACGGCTGCCCTAACCAGTTTGGCTCAGTGGATAGAGCGTGGGCCTTTGGGTTCGATTCCTGTCAAGGGCACATACCTTGGTTGCAGGCTCCTCCCCAGCCCAGGCCCTGGTCTGGCATGTGCAGGAGGCAACCAATAGATGTGTTTCTCTCACATTGATGTTACTCTGTCTTTCCCTCTCTCTCCCCCTCTCCCTAAAAATCAATGGAAAGATATCCTCAGGTGAGGATTAACAACAAAATGTGTGTGTGTGTGTGTGTGTGTGTGTGTGTGTGTGTGTGTGTGTGTGTTAGATTCTGTGAGGGAGCCAAGGTAGAGGTGTAAAGCTGCTTCGGACCTGAACCACCTCCTACTGATGACTCAGGAACTGGTCTAGTCTATGGACAGTCATCCATCTATACAGAAAGTCCCAGGGGTCACCCTCCTTCCCTGGACAACACCGATTTCATCAGAAGATAGTGTTATGTCATCACCGTGAGATCTGGAGAGCAGTCCATTAGCATTCGTGTTATTCAGAGAGCTTTGTGACAATCACCTGAAGACATCAGCGTCAAAGGTGAATGCACCATCGTAGATACTTCCAGATGATGAGAACCCTGATGATGTCTTTCCTTTGAAGGTTCCACTGCACATTACAGAGCACTTTCATAGGCCTCATCTCACTAATCCCCACCTTTGCCTTGTGAGGCGGGAAGGCTGTGATATCCCCATCCTTTAAAGGAAAATCCCAGAGAAGTGCTTGCCTGTGATGGCAGAGGTGCCTCTCTTATCCTCTATCCTTTCTTTCCGCCTCTCTCAAAAGCTTGCCTGCATTCTCCAGGGCCCTGTTCTGTACTGTTTCCTATGATGTACTTATGACTTGTCAGTTTCATTCACAGTACTTGGGTAAAAAAATAAAACCTGCTTGTATAATAGCTGACATTAAAAAGAATGTCATGAACACATCTGGCAGTTAATTTTATTCACTAGTTCCCTTCTGCTTTATGGATTCCTATGAGTCTGGGTTAATTAAGCTGAGTTCTATTTTTGCGAGCGAGCTGGTGATCCTTTGGGCTGACTCGTTGGCCGCGTGAGCCCTGGGCTGCCATCAGTGACGGAGCCTCGATGAAGCCTCAGTGCCTTCCCTGCATATGAGCGATGAGACTGTATGAGACTTGCTTTTGACCATACGTTTGCATCTTCCTCTTCTTTTAAAGGTACATGACGGATGGCGGACTTGGCCTCTACACCCGCCGCCTGAACCGGCTCCCGGATGGGATGGCTGTAGTGCGGGAGACCCTGCAAAGAAACACCTCCCTGGGCCTCGGAGACGCTGACAGGTAAGCGGCTCCACTTGGGGTTGGCCAGGCGCAGGGGTCCCTCCACAGCGGCTTGAGAAATGAGGGTGGTGACATCAAGAGCGAATGGGTGCTGCTTCACCCACGTGGAGGTTGGAGGCCCGAAGCCGTGCCTGGGGTGAGCAGCGGGCACAGCAGGAAGGAGAGGCCTGAAGGGTGCTCCAGCTCTGCTCTGTGTCAGATGGTGCTTCTGAGAGCAAGAGCGCAGGGAGTTCAGGCTGGAGTCCTTCGTTGTTGTTTTGACTGTTGCTATGCCTCTTTGTCAGCTCAGCAGGCCCCCAGGATCTGCTTTCCTTCCTCTGTTTGGCAGCTTTCTAGGCATTGCAGCTTGGAACAGAGTCCCTCAGGATGCACAGGTGTGTGTGCAGACGGGAGCTTCGGCCTCGGCTGAGCTGGCCTCGCCGCAGTCTCCCGTTGCCTGGTAATGGGAGGCAAGGCTTAAGTGTTCAGATTTACACACCTGCCCTGAGGTTAGAGCCTGAGCAGTTGAGGTTATAGGGCGTCACCGGTCTTCATTGCTGCTACCGTCAGAGATGAAAAGAGCTTCAGAAAACATTGGAAAAGAGAAAGAGGGACATTTGGCATCCAAGTTTCTAATCCTTACTCTGACGCAAACCTATTCTGTGACCGTGAGCAATTATTAAAGAAGAGGTTTGGGCCGTTGTGATTCCCAAGACCCCTTCGAGGGCTGCTGTGCTGTACCTCTAGATGTCAGCACCTTCAGTGACCTCTCTGTGCCAGGATTTTTCTGGTGTACTTGACCTCTTTCCACACCTGGGCTGGTGAGACATACCGTGGAATTTAGATGTGAGGGGTGCTAACCCCCAGGTGTTGGAAAGCCAAGTATTTGCAGCACAAGCCCAGCTTCTTGTCATTCTCTTAGCAGAGCATACTGTTTGCAAGGGGACTTTGTGGTTCTCTGGCTTCAGAGGACTAGGGCAGCGAACTAAAGAGGCAGACACCGAAGGTACCCCCAGAAAGGGGATCTGCTGAAGGAAAGTCCTCACATTCTCTCGGGAAGGCTGGGAAGCTTCGGCTGATGGAGAGAGCGCTGCATTAGTGTGGGGAATGGAGACCTGGCCTGGGCTCTGCCGCTGACTGGAGTCTGTGCTTCTCAGAGTCTAATCCCACCCCCCCTCCACTCCACCCCCATGAGTCCAGGGTGGTGATTTGTACCAGAGATGACAAAAGGCTTTCCACGCCAATGCCAGCTCGAGTCAGTTGTGTTCCTGTAATTACTTTTTTTTAAAGGAGTGGTTTGGAGATTCCACAGAAAGATGAACCATGGGAGGGTTCTTTCTAAAGGTAAAGCTCTCTAGAAATAAAATCTTTAGAGTAAATATTATCGGCGGGGAAATCAGCTGTTGTGACACTCCCACTGGAGATTTCACAATCTTGCCAAATTATTTTGCTTGTTTGTGTTCTGCTGTAAACATGCAATTGGTTAGTAAATCCATTAGCATGAAGTGCAGGCCTTACAAGGTACGTCTCCCCTTGTAGCAAAAGAAGAATCTGCACTAGGCAGTTTAATTTAATGCTTCATTGCAGGGCTAATGGAATTATCACAGATCACAGCTGAGCTTGGTTCTGCTTTTGGAGTGGAGGGTTTGGGTGGGGGCTGGAAAGATGATAGTGCCTGTTATGTTTTTCTAGTCCAACCTCTATGTGCTGGGACCATGCGGACAGCAGTGTCTTCTGGTTCTCCCCAGATGTGAGACTAAGTGGCTAACTGACCAACTTTTTTAAAGAAAGAACTCAGGTGGCTTTTAAAAAATGGAATTTAGCCCTGACCGGTTTGGCTCAGTGGATAGAGCATCAGCCTGCGGATTCAAGGGTCCCAGGTTCGATTCCGGTCAAGGGCATGTACCTTGGTTGCGGGCACATCCCCAGTGGGGAGTGTGCAGGAGGCAGCTGATCGATGTTTCTCTATCATCGATGTTTCTAACTCTCTATCCCTCTACCTTCCTCTCTGTAAAAAAAAAAAAAAATCAATAAAATATATTTAAAAAAAAAAAAATAAAAAAAATAAAAAATGGAATTTAATAATGCTTAAAAGTTTTCTGTCTCATATAAGTACTGACCTTTAGGCAGTGAGATATTTTGCATTATTCTAGAATAAGTTAAGTTTCTTTACTCTCCAAAATTATTGTGAACAGAATAATGATAAATTATTATTTCATCTTTGGCTCAGTTGAAATGGTGTTAGATTTGTTTCTGCAAAGTTCTTCATGTAAATCTCTTCCCCAAACTGTATTCTAGATGAGTGTCCCCCAACATGGGAGGCTCACATTGGTAGGATAGGAAATAATTGTAGATAGCAGACAGGGAAGTATTCCTTTTTAACAATTACACTTATCACTATGCCCTGGTCGGGTGGCTCAAAGGTTGCAGGTTTGATCCCTGTTGGGAGGCAACCAATCGATGGTTCTCTCCCCCCCCCCCTCTCCCTCTCTCCCTCTCTCCCTCTCCCTCCCTCTCCCTCTCCCTCTCTCCCTCCCTCTCCCTCTTCCTCTCTCCCCCCCTCCCTCTCACTCTTGTGCTCTCTCTCCCTTTTTACCTTTCTCCCTCCTTCCCTCCCTCCCTCTCAAATCAACAAAAAAAAATCTATAATAATAAAAGCATAATATGCTAATTAGACCGGACATCCTTCCGGCCTCTAGTAGTAGAATAAAATCAATGAAAACATATCCTCAGGTGAGGATTAAAAAAAACAAACTTATACCTATCACATCAAACCATGATTTTACAAATATTGCTTAGGGTAAGGATAGTGTGGGCTATTTCATGTGAAATATCAAGGTAGACTATCACAGATGGTGTGCAGATATATTATTCTTTTAAAAGGTCGTATGGAAATGGCCGGCTGCAGATTAGGCAAGCCTATTCTTGTCCCCACAATTGGAAATATATTATTTAAATAATTTAAATTAGACAAGTAGGAAAATGCAGAGAACCCAGCACCTTTCCAGAATCCTTCCCTTTTAACCTGAAACAAGTAGGTCCCAGAGCTGAGAGATTTCCAGGAAGTTCTTTATAAAAAGAGCCCAGTCCTTAAGGATTCGCACACAAGCAACAGATTGCTTCTACAGAGGAAGTAGGAAAAGTACTGGAGGTGAGGCCCAGTTAGACCTGAGCCAAGGGAAGACAAGCATCCGAAGGGCAGGTCACCTCCTGTGGAACAGGAAAACCATTAACCTGAGCCGTGCTGCTCTGCAGAACAGCCTGAAGGGCGCTGACCTACCCCCCTGACCTCAGCTGTTTGCAGTAGGATGTGGCCGGGGTACCTTCAGGGTTATTAAAAGTAACTGATAGCAGTGTGTACCTTCGGAGCCTGGGAGATAGAGACCAGGTCAGCTGTGAGTCTCGATGTCACCAGCGGCTTCTGAGAAACAGCAAAGGAGGAGAGTAAACTCAGAAGGCCCGTCTGCCCTTGATCTCCTGTCACTCCCTCAGGGCTGCCACCCGGGGCTCCACTTTTCACCCGACAGTCATCAGTGGCTACTTCCAGCCAACAAGAGCCAGCAGCTGAGAAGGGAGGATCAAAGGGGACCCATAGAGGTGGGTTATTACACGTCAGGGGCCCCAGATAACAAGCAAAGAGAACTTGGGTGTGTAGGTCTCTGGCCAGGCAGCCTGGCAAGAAGAAGAAATACACCCCAGGAACACCGAGGGGCTGGGATCCCAGACAAGCAAAAGCGTTGTTGGACTCCTGCCAGCTCCTACATGCACCGCTGTCTGTCCCCTCAGCACCCTCAGAAGTTCTTGAACTCCAGCGAGTTGGTACTTTCACAGCTTCAAGCACAGCCTTGGGGAAGTTTCCACTTCCGGTCTCTTCCTTTGTTCTTGCAAGTCATGGCTGTGCTCACGCCCTTTCTGTCATCCCCCTCCTGCTTCCACCTGCAGTGGGCACAGGCAGCTAGACGCTCCCCCTAAATGGCATCCCTGGGTCATGGAACTGTCATTGAGAGCACAAGAAAGCCAGAAACCAGGCTGTCGCATGCGCTGGAGCAGGGGCACTTTGGAATTGCTTGGTACCTTCCTCCTGAACCATGAGAACTCTTACTGAACGCCAGTGGCTTCTATTGACTTTGGATAATGATAAAAATAGCAAAATAACTAGTGCTGCATGGTGAAGCTTCAACCTGAGACCTGAACAAAATGTAAATTGTGCCCTAGCTGGTTTGACTCAGTGGCTAGAGCGTCGACCCACAACTGAAGGTCCCAGGTTCAATTCCGATCCAAGGGCAAGTACCTCAGTTACAGCTCCATCCCAGGTCCTGGTCCGGGTACATGCGGGAGGCAACAAATGGATGTTGCTCTTTCTCTGCCTCTCCCCCTCCCTTCCATTCTCTCTCTCTTCAAAAAAAAAAAAAAAAAAATCCTCCTGTGAGGATTAACAAAAAATAACCAAAAATTTAAAAAATATAAATTGCCCTCCATGATGCCAAGACACCCATGATGCCATGCGGGATGGAGAAACTGTTTTTCCCTCTTGTTACTGGGTTTCCTTGCCCCCAAACCCTGAACGTTCTAGGTGTAGAGACTGTGCTCACAGTAGAAGTCACTGCAGTGCCTTTCTGTTGGCGTGTGGAGCCCTGGCAATGGCACCTAGAGCTGTCCCACTTTCAGCTTGAATTGGGAGTCCCACGGTGTGAGGATGTAACTATGCAGCCTGGTATTTGGCCAGCCTGCCAAGCTGAGCCCTCCTTCCTAGCCAGGACTGTGATTTGTGTGGAACAAGGCGGCCTCCTGGCACCAAGCAGTGCAGCCACAGATTCAGGCCCGACCCACAGAGAGGAGATGAATCCAGGCCAGAGTTCCCGGGCTGCAGGTGGAGCTCACTCCCCTACCAGGTAGTAAGTCCCCAGTCCGGTCATTTCTTAGGCAGAGCCCCTGCTGGGATGTACAGGCGGGACGGAACCTCAGTGGGAATGACCTCTCCCCTCACCTCCCTGCCAAGCCTGTGGTGGGCAGAATAATGA